GAGTTTTGGGATTACTTGTAAAAACACATATGTTCTGCTCTCCCAGGCGTCCTGGAGTTCTCACCTGTCCTCCTGCGATATCTCATGTCAGGTATGGTTCTAGTAGATAGATAGATATTAGTTACTGTGCTTCTTCATAATGTAGTCAATGTGTGGTGTAAATTAGCAACAGATTGTAAGTGTCCCTTCTGTAGTAGTCGTGATTCTTACATGGGAGTAAGACATTAGTGTGCTGGTACTTTCCAGATGTACATACAGTACAAGTGTTAAACCCATAAATTAGAATACAGTATTAAAGTAAAATTTTCCCTTTAATGAAATTCCGAAGGGAAAATCGAGTGTGCATTGTTAACTTAGCTTAACTTTATTCCATTTTGGTCTGCCCACAGTGCAATACAATGTGGTGTTATTGAGGTTAGTGGTAGAATTACTTAAATCTGAACAATTGGGCCAGTTTATCAGAAGGCTTGAGGGTCGATATAATTTGGTCTGAAGGCCACATTTGGCTCTCGGGTCATAGTTTGGACACCTCTGAGGTTTACAATAAGTCCAATTTACTGTTTTATTCTTCTAAACTATGAAAAAAGAGCAATTAAACTCTTTTGTGTTATGGAACTATAAAATATTTTTTAAAGGTTGGTGTTAGTTGGGGGTCTCTCACCTGCTTGTTTTTTATGGATATGTCATTGCTCTGCCTTGAATGTTCCACAGTATGACACTGAACAGCCCTTCATTACATTTATTCAATTACAGCCTGTTTTATAGCTCAAAAATACCTACAAAAACATTATTCCAACTGCAAGCAAGGTCGCCTCTCCACAGATCTGACCTGCAACTTGTTCTGATTTTGTGTCTGTGGGGATAAAAAAGGTTTAATACCATACTGTGAAATATTCCAGACAAAGCAATAACATCTCAGTGGAGAAAAACATCTAATGGGCCCTTCACCAGAAAAGTAGCAGTAGTTTATTTGGTCATTTTGCAGCACTACAACAAAACAAAACAAAACATAGAGTACAACCCCATAGATCATGACCGAAAGAGTTTAGGCTGAAGTTAAAAGTACTTATAAAACTTATCCTTATAAAAGTTATACAATGCACCTTTTAATGGAATTATGGAGAGGGAAAATAATATATATTCGTATATATATATATTTTTTTTCTTCAGATAGCCCTTGTCTGTACTGCCCGGACATGCTCACAGTTGACTGTAGCTTCTCAGAAACCACCTGTACAGTATTAGCTAGCCCATTTAGCCTCGCCCATCTGTTCCTGTGAGTAGAAGTGCCATGTAGTGCCTCTTTCCACTTTGTAAATAAGTTGCCCTGTATGCCCTATCCGGTACTTCCCCGTTCTAACTCTCCAGTTTTAGTACAAGAGGAGACGCGAGGAGGTAGCAGACGATTTTCATCTGTCTAATTTCTCCGCTCCTGATTGCGCCGTACGCCTGATGAGTCACAGTTAACCCAGTCACACAGCTGCATGGCGGATCCTATAATGCGTCTCTACATAGCCCATCTCAGTGCTAATAAAGTGAACCACAACTGTTTCCCCCCCGATCCCTTTGCCCCAACAGCTGATGGTGAGCGATCGTATCCACAATACTCTTTTAATTAGTATAGAGAATAAATTAGTTGAGCATGCCTTTTTCCTTAATTGCTTTTTCCTCAGCTTGGATTTAATTGGGCTGCCGCTCTGTTTATTGATCTCCTTTGATGTGCTTTAATTTGGATAATTTTATATATTTATTTTGGATGCAAGGGCCAGGCGAGAGAAGTAGGTATGGCCAGAGCTCACGCTGTTACTTTAAAAGAAGTAGTAAAAAAGTGTTGACCAAAGTAATAAAGCAAGTAAGAGTGAAAAGTTGATGCTTCTCTAATAGTTTTCTAGTCTGATGCATCAGCCGGTTTTACTTTGTGGAAACCGTCTGACCTCGCAGCATTAGGATTCGTTTGCTAGACGCTAGGCGGGTACTTTTTATTATTTAACCAATCTCTCCTATTTGGTCGTGATGTATGTAATGTGCCACTAACGAGGCTAACCGGTATAATTAAGCTATTCCCAAATATCGTAGGAAGCAGGGCAATAACGTCTGTCCCCTTGATAAAAATTCACCAAACATTCTCCTTGTTCCGGCTTTAAATCCCCAATCTCTGGAATCGGGAATGTATGACTCTTCGCTGATTGGCTGGTGCCCGAACTCGCACTTCCAGGGTTCTTGGAAACCGTCTAGTGTATTTCCATTCCTGGTCTAGTCACTGGAGAGAAATGAAATTGAGCAGAGGCACTAGGTGGCACCAGCCTGACCAATAGTTTTCGGACATAAGATCTGTTTTAGTTTTTAGCTTAGAGTGATCTTGAAGAAATGCAAGTTGGTTAATATTGTTTTGCTATTTATTCATGGGTTTTAAATTATTTCCTGATGTGAAGGATTTTGTGAGGGCCTTTAACCCTTCAAAAGATATAATATGTAGATTTGAATTTTGTTATTGCTCTAACAAGGAGAATAGCCATGTTAAATCCTTCAAATCAGAAAGGGAATATTTTGCTTGACCAGAAACCCATGCATAGACTCACAAAGGAAAGATAAAGCATTTTCACTCATTGTGTGACTTTCCGGTGGAGGGTTCGCCATCTACTTTATCTAGAATGTCCCACACATTTATTTCCATGGAGACAAGCCCGCAATGCCTCCAGGCCAAGTTACAGGCCAGATCTGAGGAGAGGTGCGCTCACTTTATGAATGTATGTATTTTGGAGAAGTGAAGCCTGTAACTGAATGAATGCAAAAATCTGTCATTAATGCCATACTGTGAAACATTTCTGGCAAAGCAAAAATATCTCCATGGAAACAAGCTTGCGGTGGACCCCCTTCCAAAACAGTTACACAGTGTAGCATTAAAGTGCATTTACAATAATAATAATAATAATAATAATAATAATAATAATAAAGTACTATTTCTACAAAGGTTCACTCCAGTAATTGTCAGTGTATCTCTGTATAATACTGGGTTAGTCTTATGGTTGGTAGTGGGACCATGTAGCTGCAGTCTGGGGTCTAATGAGTGCATACATTTGTGTGGGTGATGGGAGCAGGTAGGAGCTGATCAAACCCAGAAGGCGGCTCCTCCACAGCCTGAGCGGCCCATGTGAGCTCCTCTTTGATCCTACGTCCACACCTCATGAATGCCAATGCGCCGCACCGGAGCCAGGGAGACTCTTCTGAGGCGCTGCTAACAGGCCTGCAGGCCACTACACACTCCTCCGGCAGCTCCCTGTACTCCGGGCTGATTCACGCTGCGTCATCTCTCCCCCCCGCCAACCACAACAAAGCCTCATTTTCAGCCTCCGCCTCCGTCGTTTCATAATTAGTGTTCTTCTCTGCGTGCGATTGTGGGTTTGTCTGTTTCATATGCATGTTTAACTTGTGCTTCCAACATTTGTACCAATCTATGTACTGTCCCTCCAGTAGATGCACTGAGCAGGCTTACGAAGCTCTTCATTTGCATTTATTGTCTTTATGTTGCTAGTGTTTTACAAATTTCCTTGGTTCAGAGGCAGTTAAAAGAATTGTGTTGAATACCTCCCATAGTTTTAGTTGTACACATTTGTCCCACTCTTTACTCAAAGAAATAACAAATTACTCCAATTTGCATATTTTCCAATAGCTTTTGAAACACAATTGCAGTCTCAACATTCCGATATACTTGATTTTGTAGTTGTAGTTGTAGTTGTAGTTGTAGTTGTAGTAGTTGTAGTGTAGTTGTACTTTTTGTTAGCAGTGTTGGACTAAATACATGTACTGAAAATATTATACTAATTCTGTGTGTGACTGATTTCTGGTAGTACTTGTTTATGCAATATAGCAATATAGGCCACCAAACTGAACAGGCATGTCAAACTCAGGACCAGGGCCCAAATTTGGCCCGTGATACAATTATATTTTGCCTGCGAGATCATTTCAAATATGTCTTAGAGCAGTCCTGCCGGCTACAGAGACTTTATTTATTTAAAATGTTGTTATTATTTTATATTATGCTTGTTCTGGATGTAAACTATTATTAAACATTTATTTTAATAAGAAAAGTGTAAAATTACATATCTCAAAAGAAGCGAAAACATGCAGATGTTGAAATTTTTCAATAAATATTTAGTTTGGCCCACGACTTAGTCCCAGTCTTTAATATTGGCCCTCTGTGAATTTGAGTTTGACACCCCTGGTGTAACAGAAGTATTCTATAACCAAAACATTTCATATACAACCCCAACACAGTAGTAGTTGCTGGAAGTAGAAACTGTTAATAGTATAAGTGTTAGTTTGAGGTCTCACACAAATTACACAATATATTAAACAGGAAAACCAGAAAGAGCCTCGTTTCACTAATATATAACTTATTATTGATTGCAAATTATAAACCACTGAAACTGAGAACGTGTGGATTAAGGATTTGGATGCAGCATTGGAGAATGACAACTGGAAACAAATATGGAACACAATTACCTATTCATCAAAAATTCAGATTATCAGATATTGCACTTTAACTTTTTAGGTTGATTTTGTCTGATTACAGATAAAATAAATAAATGAACTTAAAAAATAAATACATAAATAATATATATATATATATATATATATATATATATATATATATATATATATATATATATATATATATATATATATATATATATATATATATATATATATATATATATATATATATACATACATACACACACACACATATATAAACATATAAAAAAAACAACAAAGTTGTAGTATTTGTTGTGCTATCTATTGTTGTGTAGCACTAATAATAATATTGTATTTGTTTTGATGTACATGTTTGATGCACTGTGTACTGTGTGCCCTAATCCCATCGTGACACAACTTCTTTGTATTTACTTTCTTCAGAAAAACAGCCAGCAACAACTCCACTTAAAGCATGACCTAGTTCCTCTTTGCACCGCACGTTCAAACTCACCTCTCTCTCACAGGGGGTAACTTCACTTTGGCCGAGCTGGGAGTGTGCGAGCCGACCCCACCTCCTCACCCTGCAGCGGTGCCCTACTGCCCTGACCTGGGCCTGCTTCAGGGGGGGTACTCTCTGAGCGCGGGCTCCGACGCAGACTCGGATCCGGAGGGGCCCCTGTCTCCGGATCGGGCCATCCAGCTGTGGGCCGGCAGGGGAGGGGTCAAGTCCCGAAGGAGCTCAGGCGTGTCGAGCCGCGAGAACTCCGCCCTCACGCTCACTGACTCCGAGAATGAGAACAAGTCTGATGACGAAACAGGTAGGAAATGTGCAAAGGAGCCAATGTGCATGCTATTTTTGATGGTATGACAAAGTTGATGTGTTATTATGGCTTTTTAAAAATGCATTTTGTACATCTGGTAATGCAATGTATAGCTATGGAAGTACAAATTTAACTTGTGAAGCAATTTAAATCAGGCTAATAATAATGGTTGCTTCTGAACTGGCTGGCTGAGTGTTGATTGTATGAAGTATTGAGCAAAATTTAGTGAAAACGTGGTCCTTTTCTAGTCGTTTTCAGAGATTTCAGACTAGTATTGAGTTTGTGACATTTTTGATGATTAAGAGTTTTTCCAAAGAATTAAGTTGAGCTAATTAAAATTTCCAAAACACAGAGGAGCACTTTCCAGACTACCATAATAATGGATTTACAAATCAAAACTGGTTCAATGCTTAAGAAACCTCTTTAGCATAATAAATAAAAAACTAAATACACTTTTATATAGAAAAGATGTATTGTGCTACTTGTCCCTTTAGTGGCGATGGACTGGTGTTTTATGGCCTCTGCATAGAAGGTAACCTGATCATTTAGCTCTAAAGTTAACTTCTGCTGCCTGACCTGAACCTGCAGTGATTCTGTGCATCACGATATGAGCTGTGTAGCACAAAATCTGGTTTCCAATAACTTTCTGCTCCATTGCCAGTGATCCAAGCTGATAAGTTCTGTTTCTCGATAATGGCTTGTATTTCCCCAGTACCACAGACAACAGGCGCAGTCACCAAGCACACACTCTCACACATCAACTGAGCTGTGAGCTTTGAAGGCCTCATTAATTGGAGTTTCATTCTCTGACCCATTAACTGTTAAATAGTGACACTGCCTGGATTCCACTGGATTGTTTTTGTTCTTATTACACACTCTTGGCTCGGCTGCTTGGCTCATATCAGGGAGTGAAGAAACCTCGCTGTTTAAGATCAATTTTGTGTTTGAATGAAGACAGAAAAATCCAACACCAGGTAGTGACTTGAGGGATACAGTATTTGGGAGGCACACTTGTGTTGGAAACCCTTAGCCCACCTGTCAGACAAGCACTGGTATGAACAGTGCTTGAGCTGAATTTATTGAGCGACTGTGTTTTTGATCTGACAAGCAGTGGCTGGACCACCCCCCGAGAGCCATCCTGGTTTCCATCAATAGCACTTAGCAAATGCCCTCCAACAGGAGTCCAACAGCTGCAGTGGTGAGATTTCAACACTGGTCAGCTAGACCACAAAATAACAGAATATACTTTTTACTTGAAAAAGTCAATTATTACTTCAAAAGTGTTACATTTTGTTCTGTTTTTGCAACAGCGTCTGAGTGTGAGACCCCCTGAGGACATATCTCTCTTAGACAACTTTGTTTATTACCAACTTCTCATTTCCTTGTTAATCCTGGCACAGTCATAAACCTGCATGGTGCTCGCCGAGGTGTCAATGGAGGTTAATGAAAAGTGGATTGAAGGAAAAGCAACAATCTCATTAATTGAATTGTCGGCAGCCACACATCAGCTGTTGATCAACCTGCGCTGGACTGTGAGTCCTCTGAATCAGACAAGTTGTGTGGATAATCAGACTACTCAACACCTATTAAACACGTCAGAAAACACCTCCCGACGCGCCTCTCTTCCTACAGCCCATAATTGTGCATTGGTTAATTACCATCTAATCTCAGTGGCGGTGATATGAGCGGCAGGCGAAGCTCCCACTGTCTCAGGGCCTGGAACACTACAGTGCTCTGTGAGCCTCGTCATCAGACCTGGTACAATAAGCGGCTTAATTCAGCCCTATATTCCCCTGATCACTTGCCTGCAGAGTGTCAGAGTGTTGATTGAGGAGATGAAAAGTTTCTCTTTCTTTTTATTCCTTTTCATCCTTTAAATACAACTTCTGTCCTTGTGTTTCTGTGCGGCTCTCTGGAGACTCAGCCACAGTGGGCAAGGCAAAGCAACACAAATGTCACTCAAGTATCTCGGATAAGTTTACTGCCTCTAGAGTAAAACCCTCTGTGTTCATCCCATTCTTGTGCCCTGGCTGACTTTGTATTGGAAGTCTAGTGCAACTTTTATTCACCGATGAGAGAAATTAGAGCAGACTAATTTAAGACTAAGGGCCGCCACATACTACAGGATTTTTCTTTGTCTTAAACGATTTTTTAAAAATGCGCACCACAGACACAAAGAGAATCTGATGAGATTTTAAATCTCAGATTGCAAAGACTGCTGCGGGATATGGCTCCATAAAACAGGCTAAAGTTGTGTGCACATCTTGTGACAGCTGTTTCCTGTCTACAGTAAAACCAGAGTCATTGTATGAGAGCATTGCACTTCTAGTTCAGATGCACTGTGTTATTATTATTTGTGAAATGCGGTGCAATACTTCAGATACATGATTTTAAATGCAGAAAAGGCTGGTGATAAAGTACGCAGGAAGTAGTCACTGTAAGAGTCACTATTGCTAATCTACATCCTTACCCTGATCCACGCATTGTGTAGATGTAAACAGGTACACACGAAGGCCTACTCTCACTTTTTTACTTTTAAAGAACACTTCAAACTGGATTAAAAGAGTTTTGTGGACTAGGTGTCATTATTTACGGAGAACAAATTCTATGCATAATGTGTATAAGATGCTGCAGTTTACTAAAAAATTTACTACTTTCCGAGAGGTGAGTAATAATTATGTTTGCTATTTCCTGAGTTTGTATATTGCGCCTCTGTGTCTGTCACTCTTCTGCCCCTGATGCTCTGTTTTATTGGCTGTTACCGTATCGTTGCCAATGTTTGGTGGTTACGATCTTACAGAGCAGCTCAGAGTCACACTGACACCACACACATGAGGAGCACAGCAGCTTCATAATCACACACGAAGACACATAATTGGGTCACGCCTCCCCGAACCAGAGAAGCAAATCACAGCCAAAATCAGGTAAATTCTTCCTGTAGTATGTGGCATACATTAGCAAACTGTAAGTGAACAAATTGCAAGTATTATGTTTAAAGGTGCACTACATGTGTAACTTTTCTTATGGAGGGTCTGCCGTCATGGAGATATTACTGTTTTGCCATGATTATGTCACTTGGTATTCACAATGGAGACAGACTAATGGTCAGAGCAGGCCTACACATGTTAAGAATTCATGTATTTTAGGGTATTTTTGAGCTATAAAACACCTGTATCAAACAAATCCAAATGCAAAAGCACTAACATCATCATGCAGACAAGCAAGTAGCAGATCCTGCAGCTTACAATTTTTATAGTGCACCTTTAAATTCAAACCTCTCCGTAATTTTGAAATGTAACTATAAATAACCAGTGTTGGGAAGGTTACTTTTAAAATGTATTCCCCTACAGATTACAGATTACATATCCCAGAATGTAGTTTGTAACATAATCCATTAAATTACTTAAAGTGAGCAACGTAATCTGAATACTTTAGATTACTTGATTTACTGTAGAGAAGCAAAGATTAGAATATCGTAACATAAGATGCTTTGTCTGCTAAAAGACATTAAAAAGCCCAGTTTTCACTTAACCAAATTAAAAATATTATTGATAGAAGAGGAGGAGACACGGTCCACGCAGCATGGTTTAGTCCTGTTAAATCCTGATTGAGACATAGTTTAGACCTGGTTTTAGTCCTGGTTTAGTCCTGGTTTAGATCTGGTTTTGTCTTGGTTTAGTCCTGGTTTAGATTTGGTTTAGATCTGGTTTTAGAACTGGTTTAGAGCTGGTTTGGACTTGGTTTAGACCTGGTTTTAGTCCTGGTTTCGTCCTGGTTTCGTCCTGGTTTAGTCCTTGTTTAGACCTTTTTTAAACCTGGTTTGGACCTGGTTTATACCTGGCTTTAGTCCTGGTTTAGTCCTAGTTTAGACCTGGGTTTAGACCTGATTTAGACCTGGTTTTAGACCTGGTTTGGACCTGGGTTTAGACCTGGTTTACTGTCCGGCAATGATTGGAATTACCAAAAAAAAAAAAAAAAAAGGAATATAGCCCAAAATGTGAAAACAGGAAAACACCTCTGTGTAATCCATTTATTTCAACCAAGTAACTGTAATCTGATTACCATTCACTAATCAACAGTAACTGTAACTGAATACAGTTACTCATAATTAGTACTCTCATTATGTAACTCTGGTACATGTAATCTGTTACTCCCCAACACTGTCTATAACATAGTCTACAGTTTATTTGTTGTTTTTGAGTATTGACACTGTGATTCTGTTATTACAGCAGTAAAAAGGTTGCTAGTGATAATGGCACTCACCTCGTTCGCGCGTATAGGGCTTTGATTTTATTTTAGATTTGCCTTCATCTAGTCATGGAGGCTAAATGTTTAGTTGCTTAAATTCGACTGATAACTACTGAAAAGTCATATCACGCATTCGCCAGGAGTTGAGTTGCACTAGCTCTTAGACACAAACAAACAATTCCTCTTGTCTATTTTCACAGCAGATCCAGATCAGCTTCAGCTTGAGAAGATCAGAGCAGAGTCTTTTTAACCTGATATCAGCCAATTTGTCACAGAGACGCTCGAAATACAAAATCTTTCCTTTTTCCCCCCCTTTTTTTCAAACAACACTTCTGATTATGAAAGCTTTGGTGGAGTTTTTCACATAGCTCCCCTTAGTTCAACACATGGGCCAATGGCTGCAAGACCTTTCATATCACACCTCCCAACCCTTTAAGGAATCTCTCAAATTCAGTTAACTTTACCACCCACATCGCCCAAAGCAGTGTAAACTCTGGATTCACCACCTGTCATAGTTTCATCTATACTTACATTTTTTGTTTTACTTCTCAAGCTCCAAAATGGCGTGCATGTGGAGGTGTGAAGTTTGAGCTATAGCGTCAAAACAGCGGGAGGCGGATCTGAGCGTCTAATAATAGAGATTGACAGAGGTAGATGTAGAAACAACATCATAAACACACAGAAAATCAAACCAAAAAAGGGGAAGCGCTAAAGTGGCAAACATATCTAACAAGCCTCAGAAGTCTCAC